ACATACACACATACACACATACACACATACACACATACACACATACACATACATACATACATACATACATACATACATACATACATACATACATACATACATACATACATACATACATACATACATACATACATACATACATACATACATACATACATACATACATACATACATACATACATACATACATACATACATACATACATACATACATACATACATACATACATACATACATACATACATACATACATACATACATACATACATACATACATACATACATACATACATACATACATACATACATACATACATACATACATACATACATACATACATACATACATACATACATACATACATACATACATACATACATACATACATACATACATACGTACGTACGTACGTACGTACGTACGTACGTACGTACGTACATACATACATACATACATACATACATACATACATACATACATACATACATACATACATACATACATACATACATACATACATACATACATACATACATACATTCATACATACATACATACATACATACATACATACAAACAAACGTACATACATACATACATACATACATACATACATACACACACAGACATACAGACAGTCATAACCCTTTACTTGCTGGGGTCGTAGAAGTATATCGATAAAAGCATTAGAACACAAAACCCAGCATCTTTCTCTGTATTCTGCTTGTATGGTAATTGAGTCCTGTCCATTTCCCGATATTGTTATTCTAGATTGTTCTTGGTGACTCTCTTCTTCGACTCTCTCTCCCTCCCCCACCCAGGTTCCTCGGGGTATTAGTTTTTGCAAGAATCAAATCCTGTCTCACTACGTATGACGTTCTTTGGTTTTCATAGACTGGCGTTCTGACTTCAAAATAGGTTTCAGATTGAATAATGGGAAGACAGAAGTAATTGTCATATCAAAGAAAAGATCAGTGTCTACAAGTATAATTCGAAGGCGTTAGTTCAGAACAAGCTAAAACTGCATTCTTGAAAGCGACGAACATTTTATGCAATAAATTCATGTCATTGAAGGTTAGGACAAGAATTAATACATGATAATGAGCATGTGGCTGTGAATCCTGGACAATTTCATAAACAAGCCAAAGCATTTCTGTGAGAGGCCTGTGAGATGAAGTTCTACAGAAAAATCCTTATAATTCGTTTGACAGCACACACACACACACACTCACACAGGCACGCACGCACGCACACACACACACACACACACACACACACACACACAAAGCAGCCCAGATGTTTTGAAGGAGGCGTGGACCAGAAGACAAATTCTTTCAAACATCAGAAAGAGACAATCAAAATTTTATTAGGTCATGATTTGAGAAGAAGGAAATTATAATATGTTAAGACCATTGGAAAAACCATGTGGAAAAAGAGGCAGAGGAAGACAACGCCAGACGATTCTTGACAGCCTTTTTTGGTCATGGTACGGGGTGGTGTCAACACAAGAACGGATAAAGGCAGATTGTGGAGAGGCATGATCGACCAGGCCAGTCGGCAAGTCACTAAATGATGAACGAGTAGCTCCACATGCTCCTGCGCATAAGACCTAGAGGTTTTGAGGTTTTGAGGTTTTGAGGTTTTCAGGTTTTAGGTTTTAAACACCGATTAAAATTCATGGCACACTGGTAGTAACCCATAAGTGCTGCGTTCTTCTTCTAACTCAAGTCTGAGTCTGAAGAAGCTCAGCACGGTGCACAGGCTCTGTAGCACCGTCGAGGATCTTAAAATACTTTAGGTAGATTTTTACCTCCAAATTTTGCCCGGAAAGCGCCGTTAGACAACTCTTTTCGATTTCCAACTGCCAAGGGATTTTGTACATGCGCAATAATCATGATATTCTGCTAGTTTATGCCTGTACGTTTTTTCTTCTTCTGTAGCTGTTATTATCCTATTTCCCTGGCAGATTGGTGGCTTTTCCTTGCCCTTCTTTGTGGTTGGTGGATTCACGATTCTGTACGCTGTGGTCTTCCAGGTGATGCTGCCCCCTATAGAAGGTAGGTAATCTGCTGGAGTTACTTGGAGAGATAAAGTTTCAAGTCAACACCTTAGAAGAAAACTTAAAACGGTCATACAATGTATTAAAGAACAAAATAATATAGGCATCTGACAAAACTTCCAGTGCCACAACTGTCACAGAGAGCAGCGCTAAAGAAATATAAAGGTTATAGTGTAAGGGGTAGATTACGCAGACTATGGAACGACGGCATCAAGAACAGCTTGAGAGAAATGAAGGTCAATTCACAAAATGAATTAGCATGAGCTCACAAACCCAAACACTTCGCAGATGTAACTAGAGAAAAGAGAACGAATCTGGATTTGTTCTTGCAATCCGTCTAGGCTTTAACAAAGAAATGCCCCAGCCTCGCGGGAGACAACATTTACAATTAAACACTCAAGCACCGAGGGGAAAAGCACAACCAATGAAATACTAAAACGCTGCCGGAGAAAAGATTAACAATAAAATACCTGAACACCGCCAGAGAAAACATAACAACAAAATAAACAAACACTGCGGGAGAAAACATTAACAAAAATTCCCCAAAACCGCCGGAGAAAACATTAACAATGAAATACCCAAACATCGCCAGAGAAAACATAACCAACGAAATACACAAACACTGCGGGAGAAAACATAACCAATGAAACATCCAGACACCGCCGCACACTCTTCTAACAATCAACTAGTCTGTGCTACACGGGACCCTACAGTGCTGGGGTATTTCCTAACATGTCTCCGTGCGGATGTACAGTTCCAGTAACCCTGGTGTACATCCTACTGCTGTCTAGTCTCTGAGAGGGGAGAGTTCGGCTACAGCCATCAAATCTAGCCACTCCAATTACAGAGTATGTTAATCTCCCAACAGCCACCTTATCCACTTTTGGGCACAAATTCACCTATCTAGGGAAACAGTTTTATTTAATATCTCAGAGTCACGACCGACCCGTGCCACTCACGGCTTTTACTGGGCAGTATTTACTTCCGGTGGCCAAACACACGTGTGTTAGATATTATACTGGTCAGACAGAGATGTGATTTATATTGGACGTAAGTCACTTAAGTAATTTCTGTGTATTGTTTCGGATTTGTTGTATTATAGACTTAAGTAATGTGCTGATGAAGTCTGTTTAGCCGCAACGTCCACTTATTGTTTGTGTTTGTGGCATTGTGAAGCTGAGCCACTAATAGTAAAGAAGAACATTTACCATTTAGCATTGAAATGTTGCTGGAAAGATCTGGCATACATACCAAGTTGGGAAACTCCTCAAAATAATCCAATCCTCCAGTAGAATGGTTTACCGGCACTCTTCAACTTCTGCCGTTCGAAACACCTCACCAAGAGTTTGTTGATTTCAACACGCATTGTCTACTTTTCTGAAATCTTAGATCATGCTGAGTTGTGACACGAACCAAAGTTTCCGCACGCTTCTACCCCACTATGTTATTGTTGTAACTCTTCAGACACAAACATTTGTCATGCGGAGAACTTCTTAGAAGAAAACAATTTAAGTAACACTTTTTTCGCACTCAAGGAGTTAATCTAAGACAGAATGAGGTTCCTTGTATTTTATCAGTCTGTTATTACCGTCACTCGTATTGTTTGCCTAGTGAAAACTTTACCTTCGATTTTAAACCTATCCTTTTAAATATTTCTTTTCAAAACCAAATACCTGTCATTAGACAGTACTAAAATGAATCTTATCAGAACTAGTTTTTGGCCAACCCTATGCTATCAATGCCAAACGTGGTCACTTACATCCTCCAATGAACGTAAAATTGTGACAACAGAGATGAAATGACTTAGAAGAGCTGCAGGAGTTTCAAGGAAAGACAGAATACGAAATCACAAAATCAGACGAATGCTAGGAATAAAGCCGGTCTTACAGGTCATCAAAGAACAACAAATGAAATGGTTTGGACACCTAACAAGAATGCCCTGGTACTATCTGCCACAGCTAGCCACAATAAAACGTTACAACGGGTATAGAGCGAGTGGAAGACCTCGGAAAATATGGAGTGATCGCATTAAGAACAGCCTTACAGAAATGAACATCAGTCTTAATAGTGCTCTTGACAGAGCTCATCAACGAACATTACATCTCCCCCCGACACTTCGATGAGGTACACGGTGGAGGAGAAGAAGAATAATAAGACTGTCCATCTGATAATCTGTAAGTAAAAGTAAAGTAAAGATCCCGTTTCAGGCCTTTTAGGCGTATCAGGCATATGGGAAGAGCACCCATATTTTTACAGACCATCGGCACGCGGTGCGTAATGTGGTCAGCATTACGCCGGCCGTCTTTACTTCCCCAGGACAGCCTTCCTGGTACCCATTTTAGGTTGGGTCGACCTGCCACGTCCCATACCATGATAAAAATCTACGCAGCCAGCAGTGGGTTTCGATCGGAGTACGTTGGAATTACGAGCCTGACTCGCAACGTCTAAGCCGCTTCTGATAATCTGTGTAAACATTATTTTCTGCAGATGTAGAATATGAAAGAAAGGCCAGCGTATTTTCCTTGCTGCGCAGCGGTTTAGTTTGGGTCACAATTGTCTGCATCTTTAACTCTGCCATCGGAAGTATGTTCATGGCACCAGCTCTGTCACTGCACCTTGAGCAGGTTGGTGTTTGCCTATAGGTTCTTTGCTCCGTCTTGCAGTTCTTTATCCGCTCACTGTCCTTGCTGCAACATGTCGTACCATTGCTTTATATTTGTCCCAGTATATGCCAGCGCGAAAGGTAACGAGAGAGCGGATGTCTGTGCAGGTATGGCAGTGTAGGAAGTGGACCCTCTATGGACAGAATATGCATTAAAGCTGAAGATCGGAGCAGTTATGGGTACTCCCCACGTGCATGCAGATGATTCTGAAATAAAGAGTCGACAAGAAACAGTCCTAGCTGTTTAGTGTTGGTCGAGATATTTGTCCGCCTACTTTTCCGCATACTGAAAGCAGTAGTCTGGTCCTATAGATCCCTTTAGCAAAATTTATAACAGTGCAGATGACAGAACGTGTTTACATCTTTTAGTACCAGAGGGTTTAGTATCACAGACCCAAGGAGACATACAATCGGCGCATCATGCGTGCATTGGGCTTCTCGGCAGGAACCTATGAACGTATGATTCGTTCCTTGGGACTCAAAGAGTTTCATGAATCCATCGTCGGCGGGCAGTAACTATTTCTTGCACAACTTGTCCCCTATAACAATATTTAGAAATCTTCCAGATCACGTCGAGATCCCCGGTTATTCTTGGCGTCTTTTTTCAGATGAAGAGAGAAACACCGCCTCGACATGCAAGCGTACTGCCGGTTTGATACGGCAGCCTTTACACATATTTATATATATAAATCAAAGGAATCAATCAATGAATAAAAAACAAGAAAATGAATAAGTGAATAAATGAATTGAAGAGTATATGAATAAACGAGAAAATAATGAATGAACTAATTAGTAAACAATGAATGAAAGAACGTTTGAATGAATGATTCGCAGTTGTAACACCAATGTGACTTTTCACCTCACAGTTCAAATTACCATCGTCGATAGTGGGCCTGTTGTTTGTGATCACGCCCACATTTTACGGCCTCTCGGCTCCTCTTTGGGGACTGATCTGTGACAAAACCGTGAGTACATAGCCACTTAGTGAGTGAGCACACAGCTTTAATGAGGGAAGTATGAGTGAGCACACAGCTTTAATGAGGGAAGTATGGGTGAACACACAGCTTTAATGAGGGAAGTATGAGTGAACACACAGCTTTAACGAGGGAAGTATGAGTGAACACACAGCTTTAACGAGGGAAGTATGGGTGAACACACAGCTTTAATGAGGGAAATATGAGTGAGCACACAGCTTTAATGAGACAAGTATGAGTGAACACACAGCTTTAATGAGGGAAGTATGAGTAAGCACACAGCTTTAATGAGAGAAGTATGAGTGAACACACAGCTTTAATGAGAGAAGTATGAGTGAACACACAGCTTTAATGAGGGAAATATGAGTGAGCACACAGCTTTAATGAGAGAAGTATGAGTGAACACACAGCTTTAATGAGAGAAGTATGAGTGAACACACAGCTTTAATGAGAGAAGTATGAGTGAATACACAGCTCTAATGAGGGAAGTATGAGTGAGCACACAGCTTTAATGAGAGAAGTATGAGTGAACACACAGCTTTAATGAGAGAAGTATGAGTGAACACACAACTTTAATGAGAGAAGTATGAGTGAACACACAGCTTTAATGAGAGAAGTATGAGTGAACACACAGCTTTTTTGAGAGAAGTATGAGTGAGCACACACCTTTTTTGAGAGAAGTATGAGTGAGCACACAGCTTTAATGAGGGAAGTATGAGTGAGCACACAGCTTTAATGAGGGAAGTAAAGGACCTGGGATGTGGGGTAAATGGTGCTAGGCTCATTTTTTTTCTTATCGACCAGGGGTCTATCAGTGATGGGGTCAACATCACGCCGGCCGCCTTTACCTCACAGACTGGCTTTACGCCGTCGGAGTGGAAAGCACTATTTAAAACAACCATGTTAAGTGGACACTGAGTGTTGTGAGGTAAGCAGCCAACCCTACACAATGGACGAGTCGCGACTTTGATTTCCCTCGCGTTCAGTCAAATTTTAAACTTAAACCCGCCCGGAAGGGTATATAGTCCCTTATATTGATATATACCTTTATCTGGTAATATGTTCATTTCTAGACCCTCTAGTTGCTTTGATAACTCTTCATTTTCAAACTTGCAACTGTAGGTTGACGATTTCTGGTAATTTATTTAGAAATTCCTGTAAACCGGTTTACTCCTTGGGCAGGAATACAGGGGACTTCTTTCCTAGAGACGCTAAGTTTGATTTTGAAAAAAAAACTTTCTCACGCCTGATCCCAAAGTGTCAAGACGTGTATACAGTCGATGTAGAAATTGGCGCATTCAAAGTTCCATTTCTATCTTGGAAGATTTCCTAAGCTTGGGTAAGTTGATTACAGTTTACGAGGTATGTGGGATATGATCCCTCCTGACTGATCCTTCGCGAGGTTCAGAAGGACTATCCTCCCCTCGTCACTATGTGCTCCAACAAACACAGGAAAAAACCCTGGTGTGAATTCTCCACCTTCTGGTCCTCCTGACGGTCTGGACGTTTACTCCATTCCTCTTTAGAAAGAGGGGTTTGAACAGGGAGTTGACGAAAAGGCTCAACAGGAACCAATGTCAGGAAATACTCCATTAATGAAGTGTGCCCTGGCTGCTCTCTCATGACAGAGTTATACTCTGACAAGAGTTGCTCTGTAATTTGCTTCTGGGAGACAGAGAGAGTTGCGTTAACCTCTACATCTTTATAGGTCTCCCTGGGGTGAAGAGGATATTCCACAGCTGTGGCTTCTCCACCTTCCACCTCCATAGCTACAGAAAGTGTCAAGGGGGTCGGTGTGTCACTTACCTCTCTCTCGTTGTACTTCCGGAGAAGATTAATGTGATAGACCTTTGACTTACCTTTGATGTTGATCTTATAATTGATCCTGGATATCCTTTCTACCACCGTATAAGGGCCTTCCCGAGCTAATTCTAACTTAGACTTCCCTGAGGGTAGAAGCAAAAGAATCCTATCTCCAACCTCAAGACATCGTTCCTTCGTCTTCCGGTTGAAGTGTGCAGCGTACCTCTTACGTGCACGAATCAAATTCTCCTTAGCCAGGTCCCACCCTAGCTTTAACCTTTCCTTGAGTTCCTGTACATATTGTGATATGGTTTTCAAGGAATCATCTGCCCCTTCGTCTGTCCATGTCTTCCTGATAATGGCCAAGGGTCCGGAAATGTGTCTTCCAAACACCAAGGTCGAGGGCGGAAATCCAGTAGAGGCATTGGGTACTTCCCGGTAGGCGAATAGTGCTGCAGACAGATACTCGTTCCACCTCTTTGGCTTTTCCTGGGTTAATCTTCTCAGAAGCGATACCAACGTTTCATTGAACCGCTAATTCTGGCCGTTCGCTTGGGGTCGGTATGGACTGTTGCAAATGTGTTGAGATTTGATTATCTGAAAAACTTCCTCCATTAAATTCCCTCGAAACTGAGATCCATTGTCTGTCAGTATCTGCGAAGGGAATCCCACTCTTGTGAAGATGCTCATCATTGCATCTGCCACAGTCTTACTGTCGATCTTTCGAAGAACGATAGCCTCCGGCCAAGCCGAACAACAGTCTACCAAGGTCAAGATGTAAGCATTCTTCTTCTTTGTGAGAGGAAGTGATCCCACCAGATCGACCGCCACCCTCTAAAAAGATGTGGAGGTGACAGGAGTTTCCCCCAATCCGACGGGTGCATTCCTGCCTTTAGGAGCCACCTTCTGACACTCCGTACAGGATTTGACATAACGCATGATATCTGCTGTCATACCTGGCCAAAAGTAATGACAGGCAATGCGTTGTGTCGTTGCATGAATTCCCATGTGGGCACTGTAGGCTATAGTGTGTCCCATCTGGAGAATCTGCTGTCTATATGTTTTAGGTACCACTAGCTGACTGTGTTCTGTATACTTGTCACTTGCCTATCTATAAAGTATCTTACCTTTAATTTTGAATTCTTTCTTCTAAGGAGGATTGTGACTTGCAGTTAATTTTTTTAAACATGCCTTAAGAGTTGGGTCACTACTTTGGGCCACCTTGATTTCCTTAGGTAGAGGATTTACATGAGGAGAATCTTCTGAGACACTCTTATGCTGTGCCCGGGTGGTCACCACAGCAATATGCTCTGAGGGTTTCTTTGGCTCTGCTAGAAATACATAAGTAGCGCCTAGAATTAAGTCAAAGGTACAGTGTTCAAGAACTGCTGCCTCAATTACCCCCGAGACATACTTTGATCGGACTCTTATCTTAGCAATCGGCAAGTTTAAAGGTTTAGCATCCAATGTGGCACTTTGGAGCTCTATGAATCTGCCTGCATACTGGTCAGGTTTTATAAACTCTGGCCTCACCACAGCTCCGTACGACAATCCGCTATCATATAGACAATTTAAAAAATATCCGTTAACCCAGACCCTCTCTACCACAGGTGGCCTATGGGAACCATTGTACAACTTTTCCTGGGTAGAAGGTACTACAGTATTCAACAAAGCTGATACTTAGGGCGAGGTAATGTCACACATGATGATCCCCCATAGAACCCGCCCCATATTATTTTTCAAAAAAAAAAAAAAATATATACATAAGGACCCCACCTTATATATTTTTTGAAAAATAATATGAGTGTATTTTAGATAGGACATATTTGTGACTGTGGCGCAAGCCACGCTACCTTTAAAAAAAATTCAGATATCTAACATGTATTATATCTTAAAATGAACTTGCAAAAAACATTGTATATTAGAAAAAAGGTATATTAGAAAGTATATATTTGCGGCATCCATCACCTTTTAAAAAAATTAAAAATTTAGATATCTTGTAATATAATAATTCGAAATTACAACAAACATAATCGGCAATCCCCGAAATGATATTCTGCAACCTTACAGGTATAATTCTTTGGTCTACTTCTACAATATAACCCACATTCTAACGAACTGTGCTAGGTGTATACATTTCATGTTTGTTGTGTTTGTTACCATGGCTGGTTGTATTAAACACTGATTGCACCACCCTGAATGGTGACACGTTATATAGTATGGCAGGCAGTCTGAATGCTCGATTGATTTTTTGAATATTTCTATTTAGCCGGATAAAAAGTAAATAGCAACTGTAACTATGGATATGTAAATAGCAACTGTAACTATAAAGAAGTAGACACAGTGACTTTACCTAGAAAGAAAATCATTACATTTTGACAACTCTGTTGATAAGACGTGTTTTTCAAACCTCAACAAAGTTTTGATAGTTAGGTTGACTAGACTCCAAGACGTGTGTTGGATTATTACTAAGTTCTATTGAGCAACATGTCTCATTTACCCGATGATTCAACAGATATTCACGAAATACCGGGAACATCTCAAACAGAACCAGATATTGCATCTAGTCAAGTATCTCATACTGGATTAACTCAAGAACTACTTGATTTAACCTGTGATGATATGACGTGGGATTATTCCGATATTAAACCTAATGTTGTTTATACTGATAATGATCTCGATTTAATAACAAACCAAATACATTATCATCAAAAACATCTTTCGTATTATGAAGAGCTAAAACAAAAATTGACACAAGAAGGGTTAGATGCTGCTCAAAGCTTAGAGAAAGAAAAGTTGAAAACGTTGCCTAAAAAACCACCACAAATCCGTCTGAACAGAAAAACACAAAAATCACATGATATTTCAAAGTTAGCAGGACGTCCATTGTTAGAAAAATTCAAGAAATTTATCACAGAGCATGTTGATGATTCTTCTCGAATTCAACAATTTTATGATGAAAAGGATGTTGAAAAAGTAAAGGAAATTGTTAAAACCTGCGATAAAATGATTAAATATAAACATTCGTGTTTAATAAAAGATGCTGTGTTATATGGTTTGTGGTTAGAACGACTATATAATCTACATGCAGGTGGATTTAAAAACTTTGTGAAACAAAATTTATCCTACTCTGTCACTTGGGTGAATAAACTACGTGAAATGGCATATGTGTTTTCACAGTATAGTAA